ACGACGTTCACACAGGGAAAAATTCTTTAAAGCTGTTTAAAACTGTTGAGTTAAACAGCTTTAAACTAATCAGCTCCAGTGTGTGAGAAGGCTGATAGTATCTTTAAAAGAATGATCGTTAAAAAATAAGTTCCAAACACCTTAAGAGAAAAGGTCATATTTAAAAAAAGCATGGATAACATGAATACATATAGTTTCTAAACCATTTTTTCCCTACGAACATAAACGATTGACTATCTACTTCTTCGTCTGGCATGTGAAAACACGTGAGGCTGCAAAATATCTCGAAGTTAGGAAACCTTACATTTCTCCTCATATAAATATTGACAATAATCCCTTCTTAATGGCATCGTTAAATCTGATATGCACGGCCCTACGTGTTATCAGTGTCTGTGATATGGTGTAATATTGAAACCCTACAGAAATTGCGCTTCAAAATGATCACGAAGTGCTTCAAAAAAGTAAAAAAAAATCTTCGAGTGACATGTTTTTACACACTCGTTTTCCCCAATATAGACTGTAGTGTTATGAAAACCGTTAGGAAAACGCAAAATTTGATTTCGATTTCCAATCATAAATATCTTGATAATCAGACAGGCGATCGGCTTTAAAAAATCATGGGGTTCCTGACTGACCTAGCGGTTTGTAATTATCATTGCAGCATGAGCTAAATACAGGATTTTGTTTCAGAGTCTGAGACAAAGTTACCGGATTCCTTTAAAGAAAGTATAAAAACAAGAGATCTTGAGGTTTTCAAAAATATAAATAAAAAGGGGGATATTTGGGAAATCGACTTTCATCCATTTTGGTCAATTCTGACGGCATGCGGTAGATCCGTTTTTCAATGAATTTTATTGTGTTGGGGAAAACCTTAAGAAGTCCCTGTTTTCCAACTCAAAATAGATCTGAAATAGAATTTAAAATACTATATGAATAGCTTAATTCTAAAATGAGCCAAATCCACTTTTGATGAAAATCGAGTTATTGATATCAAAACATTGTTCACTTAAGTACCCGTCTTTCAACGAAATTGTTATTTGCATAAATTTGGGAGGAATTATGAACAAAAATGCAACTTCTAATATCACTTTTCCATAGACGCCTGTACAAAATCTGGTAAATAATTTCTTTTTTCTCCGAAGTTACAAAAATGGATTTAGCTCCTTTTGGAATGTAACTCTTCATATGTCTTCATGAAGTGATGTATATATATCTACAAGCACACATGCATGTTTGATGTAATACGGGGAATACTTGGGAATTAGAAGGAGGAGGAGGAGGTATAGGAGGGAGGGGGGAAGGAGGGGTAGGAATTATATGGAGGGGATGAGAGAGGAAGGAAGGAGCAGAAAGGAGCAGGGAGGGAGGAGAAGGGAAGGTATAGAGAGATAGAAAGAACAAAAGAGAGAGAGAGAGAGAGAGAGAGAGAGAGAGGCACAATAATTCATTTTTTTTCTTCAACCGGAACATCCTGGATTCGCTATTTTGTATTGTAGGCGCTATTGTTCAATCATTTACTCAACTTATTGCACTTCAAATTGATAATAAACATGAACAAATTTCTAATTACAAAGAAAAAAAGGGAAAGGAGAAATGAGAATCGACAAGTTGGGGAAGACAACAGAGAGAGAGAGAGAGAGAGAGAGAGAGGGGGGACCTGTTAAGAAGAGTAAAAACAATAAGAGTGCCAATTCATTCGCTCATATTTCATATCTGAAGTTTAGTACAGGCATGTAAATTAACGTTGTATTATTGGAAACTTATATAATTGCGAATACAGATATAAAGTTAGTACTCTATCCGTTGAAAGGTAAACAGAGTAAACGTCACATTGAAATATATATCGATGATTTAGCCTGAAACTATACAAACGTTTAAGTAAACATTGAGAGGTTAAATACAAAATACACAATCCAACTAAGGAATATGCCGAGTATCACTGCATCGGTATCGACTCTGTCGAGACTATTTTCCTTTCCACCTATTAAAAGACCTATTGAAAGTTTATATCTTTTAAATACACATGTCACTTATCAAATCCATGATTAACTACTCCCACAAATAAAACAAAGTCCGCATGGCATTTAGGAGAGGGAAGACGAATTTCCCGTCAAAGGTTCATCGGTCGGAAAAATATAAAAATAAGTCAAGATTTCCGGAATTCTTTGATAAACTAGACGAAGATATACGACCTGGATCGGTCGGTTCGGACTCGAAGAATGCGAGGGCTGATTAAAGAGCAATGTCAAGGAGATTGTTACACTGATGGAATCCGTTTTGGGAACAAAGTTGTTTCATGGATTGGTCGGTGAAAATGACAGAGATTTATTGCTGGAGCGCATATGCAAGGTGTCTATGTATAGTCCTAAAATGCTTCTTCTAAATTCGGTGCTGAAGAAAGGGTGTCCATTAAGATAAAACATTGCGACATGCATATATAACTTATATACATTTTTTTCTCTCTCTAGATTTCAGGCCTTTGATCTAAAATCAGCCGAAGAATTGTTTGCGTCTCATCAAAACTACCTCATAGGCTAATGTAATGAAATATCGTGAGACAGTCTGTCACTTTCCTACCTTGGACTACATTTACTATAAGCCTAAAATGTAAATATGTTAACCCGTTGGCTACTGAATTCTCTAATTCCCACAGGCTTAACACATAGACCCCCCCGGTACCCGTAAGCAAAGGGTTAAAGGCATTCTCAAGCTTTATACGATTCACTGCCACTTTAGATAAGGCATACGGACACTATTTAAAAAGATTCAATGTAAAATATAAAAAAACATTGAGAGTGAATCAGAGATATTTATCTAATTTTTTCTAACCTTTTGTATTAAAGCAGAACCCTGCTTGGATATTAATGCGAATACTTGTTGTTTTATACACCTGTCACCTTTTATTTATTTTCACGTTTTTATGTTGTCTTTTTAATTCTTTCTTACCCTTGTCTCTCACACTTGTATGTCTCCCACATTGCAATTGAAAGAGAGAATTAGCTAGACCTTATCATGCCTACTTATTGGATATGACTATTATCGTAATTTTCAACATCATTATCATCATCATCACCATCATCATTATTATCATCATCCTAATCATCATTATCGTGATCATCCTAATCATTATTATCATTTGAATCATTATCATCGTCATCATCATCATTGGCACTACCTTAATCATCATCATTATCAAAATTTGTTCATGAAAAAGTATATTGACCGTCAAGCAAGTGTCTATGGAGAAGTGTGAGTGTATCCGGATCAACTTCACCTTCGTTAAGGACTCTACAGCATCACGTAGGAGATTTGAGGTCGTTAAATTATTTCGAAATAGATCACCGCCATATTTGAATCAAACCATATACAGTCAAACCTGTCTATAGCGACCGCCCAAGGGAAACACAAAAAGTGGCCTTTGTAGACAGGTTCCTTTAGTACATGATTCAATGAGAAAACCATTTTCGAGGGAACCACAAATGTGGCCTTTGTAGACAGGTGGTCTTTGTAGACAGGTGGTCAGTAAAGCAAGTTTGACTGTATTTGAAATACGTGTCATTGAAAAGTAGTTAAATAAGATACAAATGATATAAAGGATCGAGTCAGTACAAGATTAAAAAAAAAAAGTATAAAAAATATATATAATATATATAAATGTATGTAAATATGTTCTTTTGTTCTCAAAATGACTCGAATTTTGCCAAAATAGAAACTGAGAAAATTACACTAATTAAGCGTATTAATTAATTAAGAATGATTAGTCTATTGGTATTTTCATTGGTGAATTCTTCATTTGTTTGGAAGATACGTTTGTTTTGAAGGAATAACAATGCATTTTTTGTCAATATTTTACTTATTCAGGTGTACCGCACAGTCCATAATAACATAATCATTACGAAAGGGGCATTATTATTAAAGGGAAGAAACAGGTTTTTCAATGATACCAACATCGAACATGATACCATAGTAACAAGAGAGATATTAACGCTGAAATTAAATTAAAGGACCTTTTGAGGAGTTTAGTAATATCACCTTCTGGTATTGAAGGATAAAGAAGAGGAGGGGGGGGGGGGGGGGGGGGGGGGCATACTGCCGACCAGTGCCCAATTTAAACAAAATCTGATATTCGTTATTATTTTTTAATTTAATTTTTCATTGAAACCTATTTATTTTGGAGGGTAAACACATGAACGGCAAACTTTTCCCATCATGTTCCTGATTAACGACTTATATATTTTTTAAAGTAATCATCATGTGGGTGTCAACATCAACTACCCTGACAACACCTGCTACGAAGCCTCTGCCTAGTCCTGGGCCTATAGAATGCGTGGATGAAAACGGTGTTGGTTCACCAACTTTTACGAAGATAATTGAAACTATCTCCCGACAATATTTCGATAACAAAGTTTACAGGTTCCTGTTTCAGCCATTGCAAAATAGGATGTAATGTGTCAATACCGTTCAACAAAATGAGAGAAAAGCATGGGACTGTCATCTAAATTGCGAAATTTCGATAACTTCCGACTCTCGAGATAAACTATTCTAACCCAGGAAAAACAGCACATTCCTCTTACAGATAAAGTGTTGGTAACTGAAATCATTAGGGACGCGTTCTCATTGGCTGGTTGGTGGTGCGTGGAGATTAATCTGCGCATGACGTAGACCAAAAGGCGCGTGCAGACAAATGGAGATCGGACGGCGCATGCTCAGAGTTTAGACACTTGTTCCGTGTTCCATAAAGAAGCATGGACCCTCCCCCCCCCCCCCCACACACACACTTTCCCCTCTCTTTCTCTTTCTCTCTCCTCTCTCTTTCTCTCCCTCTTTGCACATGCACATCCCTCGTTTTTGACTATCCTTGCAGCAACTCTTTTTCCAATTGAGTTATACATCACCGAGCCTTTCCTACCTTTCACAAAATGGAATGTATTACTCTCTCACCCCTCCCCCTTTCTCTCGCGCTCACTCTCTCTCCTTATCTCTCTGTATCCTTCCTTCCTTCCCGCTCTTGTAGTGCAGGCTGCTGGTGTCATCCGTCCGTTAATAAAATCCGCTGTACTCATCCGTGCCAGACTCATTTCAATTCATGCTTTCGATCGCATCACCTCAGCAGCAAAACCGCTCCGTCTTTCTCTCACCAATCCGCTCTATATCACTGGCACTCCAGCTTCTACACTCATCGCAAAGTTGATTTTTCATTTCTCTTCGCTCGCACCTTCGATCACAACATTACACCAACTCAGTCTCATCATTCAAGGCACAATCTTGTTTTTTTTAAAGAGCTCATTCGGAACAAAATGCTGGACGGCCTGTGTGCGATTTCTTATCATTGGATATTCACCGTCATCTAGCTTTCACGTTTTGTATTTTCCTCTCAAACATTGATTTGGGAACGGCTCTATAAACTACCGAAGCCAACTTTACAGCCACGGTTTTTCTAGGATTCGAAAGGGAAAAAGTCATCTGATGGAATAGGAATCGGGAAACCATAAATTCATGCCATCGCCGAAGAAGATCGAAGCTCTATTCATACAATTTCTTGTTTCTTTGGATTTGCTTCTCTGACGAATAAGTGGAGTAAGAAAAGAGCGACCGAGGAAGGAGGAGGCCAACTCGTCGGGTGTGGACAAGGCCAAGGGATATTCGCCGTGTCACCGTATCTTCCAGCAACACAGTATTTTATAATTGTACGTTCAATTCTTTTATCTTTTTAATAATACTACCTGATTATAATTATTTGCATTTGTACACTAAATGTTTTGCTCTACTACGTTTTAAAATGTATTATCCTGATCACACCATCCCCACGGCTGTAACCTGTTACTAACAGGTGGGTTTTCGCCGATCTACCACGATCGTGCGCTCAAATCGTTCTGTAATTTCTTTCTTTCGGTCTAGGTACAGAGAACGAGTACACAATTATCCACCCCCCCCCCCCCACTGGGTGGGGATCGGAAAATATAAATGAATGACTTCAATGTCGTGACAAGGATTTGAATCCTTCATTCTAAACTGCGACACCTCTACCTTTATACATGTTAAGACCTTTTTTCAGCTTTCATTTTGTTCAAGCCTCGTCGACATTTAAGTTTTAATGGTATTCCCGCGTCTAAGTATTAATTTGAATAAACCACTCTCGACCCAGGTGAGTTGAATGGGTGTCGGTTAGAATAAATCCTTGGGATTCTTTCTCATGCCACAGCGCCGACCAGGACAGCGCAAGGCCGGTCGCTGCCCGATGAACGATGGTCTCTAGCAGCGTTATAGAGATAACGTCATTATGAGCTGTACAAGAAATGAATACCATTATTACCATTATTATTATCATTATTATTATATTGCTATTACAGTGCAATTTCACTGTTAATATTGTTGAAGACTTTCTAAATAGGAAACACTAGGTCCGTCCTTACATTTTCAAACATTTACATAAAATATTCTTTATAATTTATGTTTTATTCTTTTACATTTCTGTCATATTTATTTACAAACAATACTGCATTTATTTTCAATATACTATTTGATAATAGTGCCTGATAATAGTATTCTGATAAGGTTAAGTTTGTTAACATGTTGTTATCAATTCCATCGTTAACAAAAAAGCACGGACCTACTAAAGTAGCTCAAGAAACGTACATGTATTGAAGGTAATACTCTTTTTATAGATTGAAATTCATTCAACACCCACCGGATAATTGAGAGAAAAAAATGACCATCTCGAAAATTGAAAACAGCTCCGCCGTTTATTCATAACTTATCATTTGTTGTTCTCGTAAACGTGACAACATTAATCCTTCATTTTGAGATTACCTTTTGTCCCAATTTTCCATTCATTTGTATCACTGTGACATATTAATGTAAGCACTATTTTCTAGTTCGTCATTCCTAGAGAAAAGACAACCTAACCAGTGGAAGGGTTATATCTGAAATAGTCAAGTTCGCTTTGGGATTTGCATTTTGATTGCCAATTTAAAACTACTGATCACTTATATATTCATTTCTACTTAATTCACCCCCTTTCCCTCTCCCTCTCTCTCTTTCTCTCTCTCTCTCTCTCTCTATCTGCCTCTCACTCTCTCTTTGCCGATTTAAAACTAGTGATCATTCGTACATTGATTTCTCGGATATTCCTAAGCACCTCGTATCTCTCTCTCTCTCTCTCTCTCCCTTTCTCTCTCTCTCTCTCTCTCTCTCTCTCCCTTTCTCTCTCTCTCTCTCCCTTTCTCTCTCTCTCTCTCTATTTCTCCGTCTGCTTGTCTCTGTGTATCTGTCTCTCAGTCTCTGTTTATGCCAATTTAACACTTGCGATCACTCGTACATTAGTCCCCCTCCCCCCCTCTCTCTCTCTCTCTCTCTCTCTCCCTCTCTCTCTGTCATTCCTTCCCCTCACTTTCCTTTCTCTAATGAGAGTGATGCAAGTGTGAGACGTTTGCCCTTCAACTGATGGCTTTATAATATGCTCTACTTACGGATTAAAACGGAGGAGGTAGGGATATAGAGTGGGAGAGTTGTCGAACAGACAAAGTGGCGTGAATTTACATCAAGTTATTACACATGCTTATTTTTACATCCCCTTCCCGCCCTCAAAAAGTATTAATAAAAGTAAATAGATAAATAACGTGGGCACTATCTTTGATCAGTTATTAGCCACACCTATTAGGCTATAGAAATTAAATATCATTGAATGATTAATTTCGAATCGTAAACACGTGATGATTGTGTTTATGTGTCATGTGATAGTAATACTAATAGTCACCCATTTTTATATGTAATTATATAATATAAGTAAGGCTAATTCATGAATTCGCGTTGTAATACAACGATTACTTGAAGCTTGCATACCGTTAACACCAAGGCAAGATTCAGCATTACTTTGCTTTTCCTATATGTTGTGAAGTCGCAAGAAATGCATAGGGGATCGAGTTGAATATGCTTGAATTATAGGTCAAACAATTATAAACAGTCAATCTATAAACGATTTTAAAAATGTTCATTTTATTTCTCTGCGCATCGCAATTTATAAAAACATAATGATACTCTTTTTAATTGCATGACTAAGAAATACTTATGAATGGATCGGGATGGTGAAGAATGGGGCTAAGTAAAGACTTTTTTCTAATTCTAATTGTTTTCATATCGTGATAAGATTCATCATTATGATTCGAAAATTCGTAAATAATTGTAAAAAGAAGGATAATAATAATAATAATGATAATAATATTCATTTGTAAAGCGCAATAACTATGTGGATATATTCTATTGCGCTACAAGAGCTCATAAATGCTGAGCGGTTTCCATTTAACCTATATCGAAAGATAAAGGTGATCTCTCTGTTTGTCCTTGTTTTTGTTAAGCGTGTCCTAATTCGACTAAAAATAGACATCCCCCACAAAATGAAGAGATTAACAGGGGATAAATAGATGAATAAATAATCAACAAACAAAAATTAAAAGCAAAATGAAGCAGATAGATACAAATATATAAATAAATAGATAACTGAAATACAAGAAAACAAAATAAGAAAGAAAGAAAGAACGAAAGGAATAAATAGAGAGAAATTAATAGATAAACAAATAAATAAATAAACAAAGTCATTCTGTATCTGAATAATTATAGACATACCTTAAAGTCAAATATTGCTTTGTTCCGCTTCACAGTCAAGTTGGTCCCATTTTAACCCTTTGCTTACGGCAACCTGGTGGTCCCCATGCTAAGTTGGTCCCATTTTAACCCTTTGCTTACGGCAACCTGGTGGTCCCCATGCTAAGTTGGTCCCATTTTAACCCTTTGTTTACGGCAACCTGGTGGTCCCCATGCTAAGCCTATGGGACCTGTACAATTCAAGAGTCAACGGGTTAATGTGTCCACAAATATTTGCGACCTCTCTCTCTCTCCCTCTCTCTCTCTCTCTCTCTCTCTCTCTCTCGCTGTTGTAGTAATCTCGTAACATCTAAATGAGACAGGAATGTGATTAAGTCCCCTCCATCCATTAGTCAAGACGCAGCCCGTGTTACGTCAGCACAGAATCATATTGATTACATTACATTAGATAAATTCATATAGGATTGTGGGATGGAAGATATACATTGTATGTGACTGCAACCGTACTTTGCGATCTAGTGGGCGGAAGGGGTAGGTGGTTGTAAAATCTTCATCCACGGAGAGGAGAAAGTGGATTACTATCGAGAAACAGATTCATATTTCCTTTTAAAATCTAGATGGATTAAAAAATAATGTCAGCTAAATTTGGACGTGTATGCTATTTATACCTCATTCTTAATTCCGGGAATTCCAAACACAGCCACTCACTGCATTCATCGGAAGTCAGTTTTAAGATGCAGGATTATAGATTTATTGTCCACGTATGATGAAACAGAAATTTGTTTCCGATTGGTGTTCCATACTATGCGGCAACATATTATATCGAATCCTGGGAGGCAGAAGGGTGTTTGAATAATGCTAAAAATTGTTTTTAAAAAGGTATGTTAACACCCAAGCTCTGAGTAGACTAGACCGTATATACCAAGAACTATTGTTCTAAGTCACATCATCATGATCTCAAATGAATTTTTAATAGAAAAATAAATATATCCCCTTGCCCATGTCAATTCATCTATGTCTTAGTCTAAATTTATAACATAATGTTCAATGTTTCTAACACATATATTTATTTTAAGCAATATTCTAGACGTCCATTATACACATGTTTGTAAGATATGTTGACACATGGTTTCTTTAGTGCATCACAGCCTTGGTGCCAAAACACCTATATCGACTTAATATTTCTATCTGCCGATATCATTCAAGGAGAACAGTAGTACCTTTCATAAGAACTATCAATTATATGTGAAACGTATCGGTTACGAGATTTATTTCGTAATATTCTCAAGTGCATACATGTACGAAGGAAGAAACAAATGAGATGAATAAATATATTTCCTTTTCTTGTTATCCCCTCTTTTCGCAGATATAGCATATTTTCGTACGCCCTCCTGTACAACACAAACTAATCTACAAATCATGTCGTCATCATCATCGTCATCATCATCACCGTCATCGTCCCCGTCGTCAAGACCGCGGTCATCATGGCTCCAGGTCGTGCTCTTTACTCTCCTGGTCTACATCCTTATCTTTTCCACTGCCTGCTGCCAAGCCGTGCCCGTTTGGAAGACATCACCGCAACAGCTGAAATCGATGAGCACCAGCAAGCTCGACGACGACGCCGTATCGGTCGGCGGCGGAGCCGGCATACCAAGCCTACCCATCGGGGAAGGCGAGTTCGACAGTCCCGACTCGATACTGGAGCGATGCCTACAAGCTACTGATGGAGAGCTTGAAGAGAACCTTTTTGTAAAAACTCTTTGCACGCTTGCTCTGATGCATACGAGGCACGCAAACGGGAAGACGAATCACCAAGGCTATGTTAAAAGAGGTGAGTAGCACTGGGGTAGCCAGGGGCGGGCACGGGAGGGGTGGCCTTTAAATTTTCTGTAAACGTATGCCGCTATACATTTGAAAGCATCAATGGGTTAAAAGAAAAGCCTGTTTGTACATCCTTCGCGATATCTTTTAAAGTCAATAAATACTACTTCTTGAATACCGAAGAGCAGATCAAATAAATGTCACCTTATTGGGCTGTGCATCAGGTATAAGAATCATTTGAAGCAGAAGTATCTTGAGCTTCAGTCAAATCATCATGAAATTCGACGATTTCAGAGTTTCAAACGTTATTGTCATGATTATTTTTCGCTTTTCGATATTCGGCTCCTCCTTGCTTATGTTGCTTTTTAGAAAACTCTTTTTTAACCTTACCTCTCCTACACCACATAGCATTAACGTTTTCTTTTGCAAGGATTTTCCAGCGAATTTTGGAAAGTGGTCTAAAACAACCTTTTACTATATGCTGTGGAATTTAAAATGACTTTTAGTACTTCTATATTAGAATATCCCTTTCCAGGGTTCGAAATGTAAACCATCATCGGATTACTTAGAAATCACAATGAATGTCCTCCTTCTTAATCACTTACTAATGTATTTGTTTTTTTCCCTCTTTTCTGTTTTTGTCATTAAACAGGTGTCTCATCTGACAGGTCTTCCTTCAGTGCGTTCAATCGGTTTGTGAGCAGGTTACGGCTACACGCCAATGAAGTAGCTGACTACCAAGAAAAACTGAACCGAATGCAAGCTCTTGGAGTCCTCGATTCAGACTACAACGTCATATCAGTGCCGTCTGAAACAGCGAGCCTAATGCGCCAACTTGGTTAGACATCAGATTAAGTGTCTCTTTCCCCCCTACTTTTCTCAGCCCAGTTCCTTCTCCGATGGAAGAAAATCTTACTTGTAATCTGGTTTGAAGGAAGTTCAACCTCATTCAATGTTTGCCAGACTGAGAGAAACACAGCACTTGTTTCTGTTATGAATAAGGTCTTTTAAGGAAGCAATTGTTATATGAATCAGGAAATCGTCATTCCATTTTCAGGCTCGATTAGATCAACTAACTTATTTCGCTTATGTATTCGTATCTATCATGTCCAGGAAAGACGCGAACTCAGTTTCAATTCCCTTTAAAATATTTATTCAGTGTAAAAGAGGAAAAGATGTACAACTGTGGTTTTCCAAAGAGCCCTTTACTCCCATTCAATTTGAAATTGTACAACAGAACTCACACTCGAATCCGCTCATATTTTGGGCGTAAAGTATTATTTGCCAACGAACCTGATGAAGCGACTATCCCGAACGGTTGGGACTAGTCTTCACGCTAGATGGCGCTCTTGTGATTCAGTTTATTTTGTAGATGAATTTATCAAACTTCGTCAATTCAAGGTCTATGGAATGCCACCGTGTCTCTCTTGTACTTCTAATAGACATTATTCTCTATTTGCGTTTGCTATCATATTTTCTTCTCTTATTTCGGCGATAGTGCAATATTATGTATTTATGAAGATTTGTACAGTTATATAATAATAGAATCGCAGTATTATTTGTTTTCTTTGTTTTATAGTTATTTACAGTTTGCTTGTAAATGTTCAGTCCTAAATTATTTTGGAATTGAATGACTGGTCTTAAAGACTACAAGTAAACACAGCCAAGCGCACACGATCTTGTTATCATGTTGAAGAACTTATTTAGCATGTTCCTAATTAAACTATATGAAACGCAATTTACAGAAATGAAGGAAAATGTTCGTCTGTTGAATATGGCGATCCCTCTTGTCTGAAATGTTCACATCATTACGCATTAAAGAGGAACACACATGAAATCGTAATCGTTTCAGTTTGTCTGCTACATGTAAAGCTTAAAGGTTGTGAAATTGCAAGTCACGCTATGATGAACAGGAACTATTTAATGGCTGTGAGTCGATTTAAACACAAAGTCCAAGAAAGTACTATTTGTATGCACCCCAAATATACTGTGCTTAAAAGCACGCTTGGAGTCAGTTCTATTATATTTTCTAAGTAGAGGTGTCGCTTAATTTTTAAAATCAACATGCTCACTTTAATTTATTGCACTGAATCAACTTCGTGTGTAGCCTACATACAATATTTGATTCACGATTCGTAACCATCATAACCATGCTATTCGCTTTTTACTGTTCTAAAGCCTGTCTGCACTATATAGTTTGGCCAGGAGGGATTAGACCTCTCTGTATGGTCACTGGCAGGTGGTTATCTCATTAAATCAGCTCTCAATTAACATAAGAGAAAGGGGACCATGGAGGACCAATGGTCACCGATTAGGCAATGCAGTCCCGCACTAAATGATCACACTTAATCTGTGCATTTTTATATTTCTTAAACTGTAGCATTTTATTTGTTATCATTTATAATACAATCATTATCTGACACCTGTCAAAATAATTATCAATTAAAATGATGTTGTTCATTAAATGTAGCGTATGAGTTTATGAAGAATTGCACATACATTCAGTGTTTTCGAAAGACTAAGAGCCTACGATTGGGTATTATTCTAATCTGTTACGCTCCTTCAGTGATCATAATATAATAAACGTTCCTAATTCCTGCGTATTCCATTTTTGTGACGATTTACGATAAAAGAAAAAGTACTAGAAATGATCTAAACTATATTTGGTTCGTGACACCTCTTAATGCTTGAGAGTAGAATACATTACGTAATATTTTGACAATAAATGCTAATAAATAATATCAAACGACAACGATTCGATTATACATACAGTTCTGTTGGTATTTTGACCACTGTAATGGCAATGTACATACAAATTATTTTTTATGTGTTTGCTGAGTGTTAGTAGAGCAGAGGAAACCTCAGATACATTTAAAATGTACCAGAAATGTTTATGAGATGTATTTCCCTCCTTCTATGTACAAACTTGTAAATAAAATAGAAGATGACTATCAATGCAGGAAAACAAATATGAGAAAACTTATTGAACGATCGCGAGTGGCGTTAAAAGTTTTTCCACTGGTATCCACAAACAATATTCCGCTTTAATACCAATCTTAATAATGTATCAAAAGGGTTTAATTAGATTAAATATGATTTATTTTGATGCTCAATAAAATGAAAGGTGCATACTAATAAGTCAAAAGGGCGAGGTGCATTGCCCCTTTCTCAACGCTTTTACATGGTGCATGTGTAAACGCCATTGGCGATCGTTTGTTAGTGTGGCCCGTGTGGGTATCATTGGTTGAAGAAAGTCTGAAATAAAACTGCATGACCTGAGTAAGAAATCAAAGAATATCATGTTTTTCACTTGTGTTTTATTCAAAGAGAGTGTTGTGGTTTTGGTAATGCATGAGGGATATATTATGTTGGTTTGTTCGACGATAGTGAACGAAATTGTGATGGTAAACAGAAGAAGAAGAAGAAGAAGAAGAAGAAGAAGAAGAAGAAGAAGAAGAAGAAGAAGAAAAAGAAGAAGAAGAAGTAGAAGAAGAAAAAGAAGAAGAAGAAGAAGAAGAAGAAGAAGGAGGAGATGACGACGATGACGACGATGATGATGGTGATGATGATGATGATGGTAGTTGTTGGAATAATGATTATGCCGGGCAGAGAACATTCAAGCTGAAAGGGAAATGAGAGAGAGACAGAGAGATATAGAGAGAGAGACAGAGAGAAAGATATGGATAAAGAGAGAGAGAGAGAGAGAAGAAGAAGAAAACAGAGGGGGAGGGAACGGGTGACGGATAAAGAGAGAGAGAGAGAGAGATAGAGATAGAGGGGGAGAGAGAGAGAGAGAGAAGAAGAAGAACAAAGAGGGAAAGGGAGAGGGTGAGGGATAGAGAGAAAGGAATATAGAGAGAGAGAGAAATAGAAGGGGAGAGGGAGGGAAAGAGAGAGAGAGAGAGAGAGAGAGGGGGATGGAAAGAGAGAGAGAGAGAGAGAGAGAGGGAGAGAGAGAGGGAGAGAGAGGGGGTGAGAGGTTTACGTAATCATTTTCTTTCACCTGATAGAATGTGTGGTAAATATCGGAGAGAAAGTTAAAGTCGGTAAAAGGCTGGTGACTGATGACATTTCCAACTATTCATATGACATTTGTTCTCATCTTATTTATCTATTTAATCACGACAACTTGCTTCAGCCTTAAACGGTTGTTTTCAGAGTTTGTGAACTTACAAAAATACACGTATACAACTGATAATACCAAAAAAAACTAGAAATTTAATTCGTCATGGGGACGAATTAGGTGGTCTGTCTTCAAGTCTTATGATAGATTATAATATTTACTATATTGAGAAAGGGAGAAGTTATATAGACATGTAAACAATGATGATGATCATGATGATGATGATGATGATGATCTTGATAGTAATGGTGATGACGATGATGATGATGATGATCATGATCATGATGATGTTGATGATTATCATCAACAGACCACGATGACATCAGACTGATCGAAATTAGAGAACATTTAGATAGCGTATAGTCTCAGCTACAACATACTCAAAAATCAACAAAAACCAAGCCGAAATAACGGCGATATTGCTCGCAAAAGACAAGAATGTAGAATCCAGATTTGAGAAAAAGTCATCTCCCATAAGGATTACACGCAAAAAGTAATGGATCAAGTAATAATAGGGTAATAATAAAGTAAATATGGTTGTTTATTACATTATTTGCGATTGTACGTGTTTTAATATTCAAAGGAGATGGTACAGTGAAAGGTCAAAAAGAAAAAAAAGTTTTAAAAAAAAATTGTTGGAGACGCCCGGACTCGAACCAGGGACCTCGAGGTCGGAAGTCAAGTGCGTTACCGATATACCAAAACATTTCCCATAGAGATTACACGTAAACGGAAAATGGAATTATCAAAACCCACTTTGCAAGTGAGATATGAGCATGATCCCGGCATCTGATCGAAAAATGATGGGCACACTTGTGAAAGCTTATTGTCTCAGCTACAACATACTCAAAGCTCAGCGTAAACAAAGATAAAACGACGGAGATATGGCTCGCGAAAGACGAAAATGTAGAATCCAGTTTTGAGAAAAAGTCATGTCCCATAGAGAATACACGCAAAATGTGAAAAATTGACATGCCTCCTTTAATTGCAAAAATACGCCATGATACTATTGTCAAAATGAAATATTGTGCAACTGCATTTGTAGAGAATATTCTAAGGTAGAACATATCAAAATTTGAAAGAAAATTGATCAATATTTACAGAGTTACAATCAATTTTCCAAAAATCTGCTGACGTCATAATATGCAAATTGAAATTTTGAGTTCGGAGGCCATTATGATAACGTCATGAGTTAATTGAGGGTCAAATGACACATGAAATCATATCTCCAACTCATGCTTTTTCTAACCATGATATAAAAATTGAGGTCAATTGACTATCTGAAGAGCTATTTTGATTTTTAAAATGAAATGTTTTTGATCAAATTTGCATTATATTGCCCATAGCAGCACGCGCGGATTTTGAACTTTGACGCGCGCTCACGGCCTTATAAAAGGTCAAGGGTGACTGAAATTAATGTAAATTGTCATTTACGGTAAGAGGAATCTAAATCAAGTAAAAAAAAAATGAATTTGACCTTTTCCGCGCGTTGTGAGCGCGCGCAACGCGCGCGTTGACACGTACGGATGGAAAATTTTGAAATGCTTAAAATGACCTGATTCGTACTCTTGTTTAATAGTTAAGTGATTTTGAGCATTTTTAAATTTTGACGCGCACGTACGCGCGCGTCGTGACCTTTATGTGACTTTTGATGACATGACCTGTTGACTTTTGACCTGAAATATATGTGATATGAATATGAATGACCTTTGCTGATGCATCATGAAGATATGATGGATAACGTGATTTCACAAAATGGCGCCTGGATGACGTCACGATGACCTGATGACCTTGAAAATGTTCTTGTCACGTCTCATGACAATGACTTATAAATGTGTCAAAATTGAAAGAAATTAACACAACCAATCTTGAGTTAACCGATAAACAAAAAACGGGAAGAAATAAAAACGAGAATGTAGAATCCAGTTTTGAGAAAAAGTCATGTCCCATAGAGAATACACGCACAATGTGAAAAATTGACATCCCTCCTTTAATCGCAAAAATACGCCATGATACCATTGTCAAAATGAAATATCGTGTTGACTGCATTTGTAGAGAATATTCTCAGGTAGAACATATCAAAATTTGAAAGAAAATTGATCAATATTTACAGAGATACAATCAATTTTCCAAAAATCTGCTGACGTCATAATATGCAAATTGAAATTTTGAGTTCGGAGGCCATTATGATGACGTCATTAGTTAATTGAGGGTCAAACTACACATGAAATCATATCTCCAACTCATGTTTTTTCCAACTATGATATAAAAGTTGGGATCAATTGATTATCTGAAGAGCTATTTTGATTTTTAAAATGGGATGTTTTTGATCAAATTTGCATTATATTGCCCATAGCAGCACGCGCGGATTTTGAACTTTGACGCGCGCTCACGGCCTTATGAAAGGTCAAGAGTGACTGAAATTAATGTAAATTGTCATTTACGGTAAGAGGAATCTAAATCATGTAAACAATTTGAATTTGACCTTTTCCGCGCGTTATGAGCGCGCGCAACGCGCGCGGTGACACTTACGGACGGAAAATTTTGAAATGCTTAAAATGACCTGATTCGTACTCTCCTTTAATAGTTAAGTGATTTTGAGCATTTTAAAATTTTGACGCGCGCGTACGTGCGCGTCATGACCTTCATGTGACCTTTGATGACATGACTTGTTAACCCTTGACCTGAAGTATATGTGATATGAATATGAATGACCTTTGCTTATGCATCATGAAGATATGATGGATAACGTGATTTCACAAAATGGCGCCTGGATGACGTCATGATGACCTGATGACCTTGAAAAGGTTACTGTCATGTCTCATGACAATGACCTATGACTGTGTCAAAACTGAAAGAAATTGACACAACCGATCTTGAGTTAACCGATGAACAAAAAACGGGGAGAAATAAAAATAAACTAGAAATTTAATTCGTCATGGGGACGAATTAGGTGGTCTGTCTTCAAGTCTTATGATGTATTATAATATTTACTATATTGAGAAAGGGAGAAGTTATATAGACATGTAAACAATGATGATCATGATGATGATGATGATCTTGATAGTAATGGGGATGACGATGATGATGATGATGATCATGATGATGTTGATGATTATCATTAACAGACCACGATGACATCAGACTGAAAAAAATGAGAGAACATTTAGATAGTATATAGTCTCAGCTACAACATACTCAAAAATCAACAAAAATCAAGCCGAAATAACGGCGATATTGCTCGCAAAAGACAAGAATGTAGAATCCAGATTTGAGAAAAAGTCATCTCCCATAAGGATTACACGCAAAAAGTAATGGATCTAGTGATAATAGGGTAATAATAAAGTAAATATGGTTGTTTATTACATTATTTGCGATTGTACGTGTTTTAATATTCAAAGGAGATGGTAGAGTGAATAGTCAAAAAGAAAAAAAAGTGAAGAAAAAAAATTGTTGGAGACGCCCGGACTCGAACCAGGGACCTCGAGGTCGGAAGTCAAGTGCGTTACCGATATACCAAAACATTTCCCATAGAGATTACACGTAAACGGAAAATGGAATGCACAAATCCCACTTTGTAATTGAAAAATGAGCATGATCCCGGCATCTGATCGAAAAATAAAGGGCACACTTGTGATAGCTTATTTTCTCAGCTACAACATACTCAAAGTTCAGCGTAAATAAAGCTAAAACGACGGAGATATTGCTCGCAAAAGACAGGATGTAGAATCCAGTTTTGAGAAAAAGTCATGTCCCATAGAGAATACACGCAAAATGTGAAAAATTGACATGCCTCCTTTAATCGCAAAAATACGCCGTGATGCCTTTGTCAAAATGAAATATCGTGGTAACTGCATTTGTAGAGAATTGTCTCAGCTAGATCATATCAAAATTTGAAAGAAAATCGATCAATATTGACAGAGATACAGTCTATTTTCCAGAAATCTGCTGACGTCATAATATGCAAATTGAAATTTTGAGTTGGGAGGCCATTATGATGACGTCATTAGTTAATTGAGGGTCAAACTACACATGAAATCATATCTCCAACTCATGTTTTTTCCAACTATGATATAAAAGTTGGGATCAATTGATTATCTGAAGAGCTATTTTGATTTTTAAAATGGGATGTTTTTGATCAAATTTGCATTATATTGCCCATAGCAGCACGC